AAAAAAAAAAAAAAAAAAAAAAAAAAAAAAAAAAAAAAAAAAAAACCATGGTGGAGAGAAGCGGCCGCCCCCTGCTGACGACGAAGAAGATAGAAGAGAAGGAAGAAAGAAGAAAAAGCGATCCCACCCAACATCACAACTCCAAGCCTGCTTCACTCAGTCCTGCAGCGCACCACCCCTGCCTCGATAGGCGGGGAGTTATATGCCCGGGCAAAGGGGTTTCCCCGAGGCCCGCTCCGTGCCCCCGCAAGGGGGTACGACGACCCCGACTGCTGCAAATTCAGTTCGAGACAGCGAGCCGACGAGTCAAGACCTCTCCGGAAGAAGAGGAGAGCGCCAACCCAAGAACAAGAAAAGACTCGCTCCTACGCCCTGCGCCGGTCAAGCCACGAGGACCGTGTGAACGCCATACTTGAAGCCTTCGTTATTTTCCTCGAACCAATCCCAGCACCCGTTCCGCGACAGCCACTGCGGCAATACTCGAGCCACCACGTTTCAACGAGAGTAAGAAGTCTAAAAATCACACGTGGTGGCCGAAACCTGAGCGGTGGCCGTCCGGAATATATTGTCTAAATATAGCCATAGTTTGTTAGTCAATCCTAACAATAATCGCACCATTTGTATTCGTAACTGTTTGACAAATATTAGCATTGCTGACGTCCATGAGCGACGGTGATCACTTACCATCAGGTGGGCCGTATGCGCGACTGCCCACAAAGGCAATAATAAAAAAAATTATGAACCATGATCACCACATTACAAACGCCTGTGTATATTTATCAGCAATCACAAAATATAAAACGAACTTGTTCGTTCAGGCGCTAAAAATTTAATACTGCTATTTGGATTATTGATCGTAGCTTAATCAAAATCGATTAGGACGAGTAAAAATGAAAAGAAAATTGAATCTTATGAAATTGTCGAGGCCTAACGGATAAGACGTCCGGTGCATACGTGTTGAGCGACGCACCGGTGTTCGAATCCCGCAAGCGGGTACCAATTTTTCTAATGAAATACGTACTCAACAAATGCTTACGATTGACTTCCACGGTGAAGGAATAACATCGTGTAATAAAAATTAAACCCGCAAAATTATAATTTGCGTAATTACTGGTGGTAGGACCTCTTGTGAGTCCGCACGGGTAGGTACCACCACCCTGCCTATTTCTGCCGTGAAGCAGTAATGCGTTTCGACTTGAAGGGTGGGGCAGCCGTTGTAACTATAATTGAGACCTTAGAACTTATATCTCAAGGTGGGTGGCGCATTTACGTTGTAGATGTCTATGGGCTCCAGTAACCACTTAACACCAGGTGGGCTGTGAGCTCGTCCACTCATCTAAGCAATAAAAAATAAATAAATAAAAGATACGGTAACGAACCCGTTCATCGTGGCGTCGTAATGTGACCTGAACATGCGCGTCACGGCTAAAGAATCAATTCCTCTGAATATGCTCTATCTATTTTCTGTTCCGTTTCAAGGTATCATCATTGTTTAAAACAAAGAAATTTAGTGACATGCCAAAAATCATTTAATGAACAAAAATAGTGGTAGGTGAAAAATGAAATAAATAATAACTTAAATTCGTTTAGGTAATGTAATTATGTATAAAGGAAAACCTTTATCATTAGAAACTTTTAGTTTTTAAAGAGATATTTCTTAGACGGATTTACTCACCTGTCTATCATTCAGTGCAGTGTTCAGTTTTGCCTAATTTAATAAAATTGTTTAAATCTTCTTCTTTTTCTCCACCTTATCCCACTAGGGTCGGCACAGCAAATTTTTCTCTTTCATTCTCTTCTATCAGCCGTCATCTCAACACTCACTTCTCTCTCTATCGTATCGTCATTCACACACTACATCCATGTCTTCTTCGGTCGACATCTTCCTTCCTCTACCTCTACCTTGCACTACCATTTCCATACATCTCCCAAGATTGTTGAAATAAAATATTAATGAAAATTAATTAAAAATAATTTTCTTAACTTTTATTGTTAATTCATTCTGGCATATGGAATATATCATTATAAAATGACATTTTTAATATAAATATTTTACCATATTTAGAAAAATGTTATTAGTTTTTACTATAATTTGTAATGAAAAAATCTTAATAGAGAGCGTGCAAATCAAAATATAAAAATGTGATATAGATAGAACAATGGCATTTTAATGGATGGATATAAATTAAAAACATTGCAGCTGCAACAATATGCAGCGACAATGTTCCATGTGTAGTCATAACACGACACTGGCAGAAATTGCTGAATGTATCAGAAGATTGCCATTATTTAAAAAAAAAAAAAAAAAAAAAAACAATATGCAGCTGTTGGAAGTTTCAATTCTTTTATTTCTCTTCTGTGTTTGTTCATACCATGGTTAGTCAGGAAATACATTCAATTACATGTCTGTTTACAATTATAAATAATACCATACTGTTGCAATAAAACAACTTGCACATTCCGTATAAAAACATTGGATTTCTTTTTTTAAATATCTTTACATGTAAGCTTCGATAGACTTTGTGTGGCCATGAGTAATGCATTGCTACCTACAATACTTATAAAAAACAAAAACAAAAATAAAAAAATAGTAGTTATTAAAATCCCACTCACATGAAATGTTTACAATTCATTCTATATTTAATCTACATCTACAAAACTCGCACTAAGCACAGATCAAATGCAACAATGAGTCCAGACTGCCTCAACTGTCACATGAAGTTGGAGTTTCAATCACTTGTATGATTGAAACTCCAACTTCATGTGACAATTGAGGACGTCATCGAAAAAGTGGCCAAAGCTTACCATAGTTATTATGGAGCAGAGATGTTTAAGTTTTCACGAATTTAAATTTGAGTAGGCAAAAAACAAAATTTATTATATTTTAAATAAATTGCAATATACATAATTATAAACATGATTATGAAAAATTGTGGGTTAGGCCACTTTTGCGCTGATGGCCTCAATATATATACTCTTGCATGCCTTAGATATTATGAGAAACATACTTCAGTGCTCTTAATTATAGTTGAAATTATTTGATAAAAGTGCCACACCACAAATAGTTTGAGGTGGTCTGTGAAATGACAATTACTTTTAGATTACACCAGATCAAAGTTTTTGCAACATAATTTACAAACTCTATGTTATTTATTTCACTTTAATATTTGAAAAACTTAAAGTAATCATAAGTAATACAAATTTTTATTGCATAACATTTTGATTAACAAACAACATGCAAAGGCAGAATTCTATCATTTAATGACACAATCAACAATTTAATGACACAATTAAATGATACTTGACGAGCACAATATTTGTAAATGTTATCACATTTCATGAAAGAAAATAAATCAATTTGTAAGATGAAGTTAATAAAAATAACCCAAGGCCAGAATAGCCTTATTGGCACAGATTAGGAGACACGCAACATTTGTTTCTGTTTAAATTCTTCACTTTTCTTCAGTCTATGAATTTGTCCCTTAGTGTTTGTAGTTCCTGAAATTATAACATTTGAAGATTAAAATCACGATCATCTAGTTTGCTAAATTATTTCAAACATTGTGCATCCACTAACAGCCCACTATTGGTGTATTGGGAATGTTGTTATGTTTTAAAATAAATAAATTAGATTTAGTCTGTAACATTCCAAAAATCACTGCCATGGTTGATGAGTTAGGTTTCTACATCAACTAATTCCTGTGTAGTTATTTACTTTTTTAGGATCTTTACATGTAATTTTTAAAACTAAATCAGTGTATTAGTAAAACTAAATCAGTGTATTAGTCCTCCATCAAACATATTAACAGAAATATGGCGACCTAAAAAAAGAATTTTAAATTTAAAACATTATAATACAAAATTAAATTATTCTAACTTACAGCTTATCACTCTTGTTCATTGTTACTGGATGAGTCTTCACTGCTGTCTTCACTGGAGTCTTCACTTGAATCATCACCGTTCTTGGCAGCTTTCTTGGCCATCATCTCTTTGAATTGACGCACAGTGATCTTTCGAGGCATGATCTCTCTGAGAAAGTCTAAAGTGTCATCCTCTTGAACAATATCAGCAATATGTTTGTATTCTAGGAAGTTGGCATTACTGTTTTTGTGTGCCCTCTTTGCTAGGTCCATTACAAACAATTCCTGGAAATTAGTGTGATTATGTTTATCGGAGTCCATAGCTATCACAATGTGATTGTCATCACTCTAAGAACCTACGAAATAAGGTCTAAGTCTCAGTTGTACTATAACAATACTGTCCAGACTATTCAAAATAGAATATCATCAATCATTGGAGTAATGGACAATATGGTAGTACAAACAACGGCGGATCCAGGGGGGGGGTCATGGGGGTCATGACCCCCCCCTGAGCTAGTTCCAGGACTTGAACTAACTTGGACTAATTGAAGAACATCATGATTTATTTATTATCTATTGTTATCAAAATTAAATTATAAGTTCTTAGCTTGCCCACGACTATGTGACCCCCTCCTGGCGCCAAAGCTGGATCCGCCCTTGAGTACAAACTCATGTGGGCACTCAATTCATGTGTGGTGTGGTAAAGCACAAGCGGCTCAAGACATTTATATTGAGTGATGCGACTGTGCCAGTGCTTGAATCACACAGGCAGATACCGATTTTTCTAATGAAATACATTCTTTACTCATATTCACAAATTACTTCCACAATGAAAGAATAACATATAGTGTAATAAAAATCAAACTCACAAAATTTGTAATTTGCATAAAACTAGTTATTACGGTCATGGGGCGCATATCAGTATTTCGGCTGCGGAGCAGTAATGATTTTTGATTTGAAGGGCGAAGCAGCCGTTACACTATACAATAGAAACCTCCTGTCTCAAGTTGGGTAGCGGCATTCACACAATGATGATGTCTATAGGCTCCAGTAACTACCTAGCACCAGGTGGGTCGTGAGCACGTTCAGCCGTCTAAGTAATAAATAAAAAAAATCGCCTTGGGAGGTTTACGTTAGTTTAACTTAGGTTAGCCTCTAGAAAACTCACTGTAACTTTAGTGACTAAATAAAGTGGTTCTGGACCAACAGCTTCTACGTCCGGTGAGCTTTTCATTATTGTTTTGACCCTGGACAGGGGCAAATGCAGATCTTTTTCACTTTTTGGAGTAGCCATCGTTTTAGTCGAAAGGAAATACAAACTAACTAGAAATATTTTATAGGTGAACTATTAAAATTTCATTTCAAATAGATTATTTAAAACAGACCGCGAATCTTTAAGCATTTTAAACTGAAGTCAAAACTAAACGTCAAAGTCAAAAACTTTGATTTGTTTCATTTGTAAATCGGAAAGGCATGTGGAACGTGGCTCATTCAATATTTTAATTTTCTATAACATTTGTTGGGTCTAAAGTGAAATAGTTATTAATTAATTTACTAATAACTACTAAAATAAATGAAACAATTATTCGCAGAACTTAACAACTTTCTGTGTGCTCAGAAAAAACGTGGGCTTTTCCACCAGAAAGTCTAAAGTAAAAAACTACGAAATGTTTAATCACTCTGTCCCGAGGAAAACGTTTGACCGAAAAATATCGGCTCTGACTCTCTCAAACAGGTAAACGAAATTGACTATAAAAACTTTTTTATTCCAATCATTGTTCGTCTTAAAATATTAATTTTATCGGTTGTCCGTTGTCAGATTTTTAAACATATTCTCAAATATAAAATATTAAGTTTTGGTGGGCTAAAGGATGAGACGCCCGATGCTGTCACATCGAGTGATGCGACTATGCCTGTGTTCAAACCCCGCAGGCAGATATTCTAAGGAATTTCTTCAGTCATTATGCCTTAATTTAAATTATCGGTTACATTTTTTTTATTTCGAACCGTTTCGAATCGAAAAGTTCGAATTCACTCGTAACAACTTTATAGGTACCGTTTTGCCCCTTAACCCAATTGTTTCTCCAGACCACTTACAGATGTCGTTAGTATACTGTTTTTGCATTTTGTTTAGATCTAAAACGCTGTTAATAGCTTCAGACGTATGTATGTTAGTATGTATCGTAATCTTTGAACATGATTTTGACCCCCTTCAAAACGTCGGATTATCTCGAAAGACATAATTGTTAATGACCGATGACAATTCAATACCTACATATTAAAAAAAAATATTGAAAAAATTTAAATTCAACTAAAAAATGAAAAATAAATAACATTAGTTTAAAAAAACTAAAAAAATACGCTTTTATAGAAAATCCAACTAAAAAATAAAAAATAAACTTCAATAAATTTTAATTAAAAATTGTGTAAGAAAATTTTATTTTATTGTAAAAAAGCGTGGGGTGTGTGTGTCAATAGTTTTAAATTATTTATTGACAAATATGAGCAGAAGGATTATCACTTTCATAATATGTATCATAAAAAGCACACCGCGCTTTTTTTACAATTCATTTATTTTCTTTCTTTTTAGTTAGACTTTCTATAAAAGCGCCATTTTTAGTGTTTTTTTTTTTAAATTATGATTTATTTATAATTTTTGGGTTTAAGTAGCATTAAGTATCACAAATTATTTATTAATGAATACATTCAGGCAAATACAATAGTTTCCCATTTGCTAAGTGAAAAATCGGAGGCGCTCAAATGAATTTGTTGTTTTGACTGCCAAAAGTAAATAACGGGTCTAACTGTTTAAAATATTGAATTGTCTTTTTTTATGCTTAACTAGCTGACCCGGCAGACTTCGTAGTACCTCAGTCGATAAATAAATTTCTAAGCTTTTGTATAAAATAAACTTAAAACAAACAAAAGGAATCTGTCCGACGGGGACACATCAAAGTAAAAAAAAAAAATTGTTATTTTTATTTAATTCCAAGAATTTTCATATTTATTTACCTTTTAAACCTTCCCTGGACTTCTACAAATAATTCAAGACCAAAATTAGCCAAATCGGTCCAGCCGTTCTCGAGTTTTAGCGAGACTAACGAACAGCAATTCATTTTTATATATAACTAGTCAGGTCATAAGTATTGTCACACAGTAAAAACTTTTCTTTTAGAATGCTGGCCACAAAAAAGTTTATTGAATTCGAATTTCGAATTGTTCATGAAAATAAAAATGTATACTTTTAGAATTTTACTCATTTTTAAATATGGAGTGGACGCTTAAAGAAGACCGTGTTGCAGTTATTGCGTTGCATCGTTGCGGTTACGCGCCAATTCAAATTTTTAACATACTGAAAAATTTGAATATAACCAAAAGATTCGTTTATCGTACCATCAAACGATACAATGAAGACTCTAGTGTAGATGACAGGTCAAGAAGTGGTCGCCCTCGGTCTGTTAGGACTCCAGCAGTGATAAAAGCTGTGAAGGCGCGAATTCAAAGAAATCCCAAACGTAAGCAGAAACTGTTGGCCCTTCAGATGGGGTTAAGCAGAACCACGGTGAAAAGGGTGTTAAATGAAGACTTAGGGCTTCGGGCATATCGAAGAAAAACAGGACATCGTTTGAATGCTCGTCTAATGGACCTGAGACTGAAGAGATGCCGCGCTTTGTTGAAGCGGTACGCGGGAAAAAAATATCGGGAAATTCTTTTTTCGGATGAAAAAATTTTTACCGTAGAAGAGAGCTACAACAAACAAAATGATAAGGTGTACGCACACAGTAGTGAAGAAGCGAGCAACCGTATTCCGCGTGTCCAACGAGGTCATTTTCCATCCTCGCTCATGGTATGGTTGGGAGTTTCTTATTGGGGCTTAACAGAGGTACATTTTTGTGAGAAAGGTGTAAAAACGAATGCAGTTGTGTATCAAAATACAGTCCTGACGAACCTTGTGGAACCTGTTTCTCATACCATGTTCAATAACAGGCACTGGGTATTCCAACAAGATTCGGCGCCAGCTCATAGAGCGAAGAGCACACAAGACTGGCTGGCGGCGCGTGAAATCGACTTCATCCGGCACGAAGACTGGCCCTCCTCCAGTCCAGATTTGAATCCGTTAGATTACAAGATATGGCAACACTTGGAGGAAAAGGCGTGCTCAAAGCCTCATCCCAATTTGGAGTCACTCAAGACATCCTTGATTAAGGCAGCCGCCGATATTGACATGGACCTCGTTCGTGCTGCGATAGACGACTGGCCGCGCAGATTGAAGGCCTGTATTCAAAATCACGGAGGTCATTTTGAATAAACTTTAGTGTCATAAGAATCTATGTTTTGTTAAGTTCATTTTGGTATATGAATGGTTACATAATGAATAAACTTGTTTCAATTATTTTACATTAAACATGTGACAGAATTTATGACCTGACTAGGTATAGCTGGTTTACTGGTGGCCCCGAGGCCTTTCCAGTTTCACAAGTACAGGTGGGCGAGTAAGGGCTCAGCCAGAAGGGGCGAAATTTGCTAACAGCTACCTGAACCCCTCCAAGGGAGACCTAACAGCTCAAGAGTAGCTGCTTCGCAAATAAATTTACAACCGGATCGGTATCGCGACCCGCTGAGAAGATCCGGTGAGAAACTCAATGGGCTGATGCTTAGGTTAGGTTGGACGTCGAACTCTTTGCTGGGTTCGACGACTACGCTTACCGGGCTCTCTACTCCTGCTAACGGACCTAACGGAAGGCATCTAATACAAGGGTTATTGGATCTGATGGATCCGTAAGTACGTGTCTAGGGCGACGACGATGACTGACCCCTGCGTGATCAGGATGCGAGGAGTAGTCAGCGGCGGCAACGATAAGGCGATTATCATGACGCATGGCGCTTATCGAAGTACCGTTCCGACGCTGACTTCATGTATTTTCTGATCGATTCGAGGTCCAAGTCGTCGTATAAGTCGACGTTACTCACGAACCACGGAGCGCCCACTGCTATCGTGCAAAAACGAGATTGTAGGGATTGAAGGGTGTCTATGTGTCTGCGGGCCGCGTGAGGAAACACCACACTATCGTAAATGATGACGGGTCTTATGCAAGCTTTGTAAAGCGTCACCTTGTTCCGAGGGAAGCGAAGAATAAACGCGACACGGTCGCGGACTGATTTTATATGTGGGCGGAATGTCATGGATGCATCCAGGGTGACACCCAGGTACTTAACATTCCTGGCCCAGGGTATGAATTGGCTGAAAAGGGTGTAATTGAATTGTCATCGGTCCTTGAGAAGTACGTCAAATTTCGAGTTAAACCGACGTTTTGGAGGGGCACAAAAATATGTTCATATATTCCGCTTAACATACGTATAACGCTCATAAAAGTGTATTAAAAATTATAATTGGTTTTATAAATTGTTGTCAATTTGACCTTAAATGTGGAAGTGGCAGACCTATATCAAAATCGATTCTGCATCTAATAACAAGAAACCATACGGGGCCAAAGGAATAGACGCACGTATATCGTGCATTCTTATTATGTGGGCTTTGAATCTCTCAGGCGGGTACCCATTTTTAAAATGATATACGTACTCTTTTTCTTTTTTTTTTATCTATGCTGATAACCTGGAGAGGCTATTTCAGCGTTACCCTAGCCTGTAGGTGAGCTCTCGGAGCTCGAACTGGAGAATCTACCACCGGATCGGAAACTTGACCCACTGAGAAGATCCGGCGAGAATCTCAGTGGGCTGTGTCTATGGGTTAATTTACTCGTCGAGCTCTTCGTCGCAAGCGACGGGTTCGGCGAGCATACGTACTTAACAAATGTGCACAAAGGACTTCCGACTTACATTTAATAGAACGAAACCCCAAAATATACAAATTGTGTAATTACTATACAACTGGGGCGTAGACCTCAAGTATCAAGGTGAGGACCGGCATTCACGTTGATGTCTATGGGCTCTGGTTGAAACTAGATGAGCCGTGAGCTTGTTCACCTGGCTACGTAATAAAAGAATTTAATAATTGAATTTCAATGAATATCATTAGTACGATACGGTTGCATCTATGTATGTGTGTGCGAGGTACAGAACAAAGGCAGTAATAGTCTTAACGCTAGATGTCTTTATTTTCCATTTCCTTATAGAAAATACGTTTTACAATAAAGAGTAGTGGAGGAGGGGCGGCCCGCTGACTAGTGCCCGGCCTCCGCGGAACGATAAATAAATACACAGGCGGCTCGCGGCGGCGCCTACAGAGACTTCTCGATCTTGATGAGCTCGGCGATGCCGTCGTACATCTCCTTGACGGCGTCGTACTCGGTGAGCCCCATGCGGCGCTTGTTGGAGATGTCGTACACGCCGCCCTCGGCCTCCGTGTGCTCGCCGCGCGTGCCGCGGACCTGCAGGTGGTACTTGGACGCCACCTCCTCCAGCTTCTTCTTGTCGGCCGCCAGCTTCGGCAGCTTGATGTGCACGGAGGCGCGGACCGTGGTGCCCAGGTTGGTCGGGCAGAACGTGAGGAAGCCGAGCCGGTCGTGGTGCGAGAACGGGATCTTCTTCTCGATCTCGTTGACGGCGCTCACCAGCCTCTTGTACACCTGCTGCAGGTCACCGCCCATCTGCATCGAGATGATGCGGAGGTGGTCCTCCTCGTTGCACCACACGAGGAACGTCTTGTTCTCGTTGTGGTAGATGCCGCGGCCGGTGGGCCAGAAGCGGCAGGCGTTGGCGGCCTGCAGGAAGCGGTCGCCCTCCTTGAACAGGAAGTGGTCGTCGATGAGCTGCTGCTGGGTCTCCTTCGACATGCCAGTGAGGGGGTAGAACGTGCCCTTGAGCTCGCCCTCGAGGCTGGACAGGGTGCCGGAGACCTTGTCCTCCATCTCCTTGTACTGGGACTCGGTGAGGCAGGGGTTGAAGGGGTACCCCTCGAGCGAGCGGCCGCAGCGCACGCGGGTGGAGACCACGAACTCGCCGGCGGGGTCGAGGTTGCCGAGCGTGTCCACGTCTCCCCAGTTCTTGGGCGGGTGCTTGTCGGTCTTCTTGAAGCCATTGTGATAGTCCTCGATGATCGGGTCAAAGAGCTCGGCGAACACAGAGTACGACTCGGCGTCCGGCGCGTAGATACCGACGCCGGAGTCCAAGTTCTCGACACCTGCACACGATAAGTACTCCAATGATTATTATCGAAACTAAATAAACATTCTAATCAGTTGCCCTCGATAAAAGGTAAGCTTACGGCCCACCTGATCGTCGTGGTTACGTAGAGATGTTAGCCCTATTATATATTATGTAGTAGTTGCAATAGAAGAATCTTCAGAATTAAAGGCAGTATTATTTTCTTATCTGTTTTTTTCTTAATTATACGTAATGTATAATTTACACGGTGGACCGGTGGCAAAGGCAGGCCGGCGGGGCGGACGTGAATAAGAATGGCAGACGATAGAACATTGTAAAATAAAATAGATGAGTTTTTTTCTTTTGCAACTAAGTCTGTCGGCTGTATTTCAGTTCACTTACTTAGTGTTTAGTCTAAGCGTACTTAGCCTTCCGTAATTAAGCAGACAGTACACAAAGTAGTCATATTTTAGAAAATTGTGCAGTGTAAAAATCCGAATAATTAAATCGAATAAATATTTTCGATCAATCATTGTGTTGCCGAACATTTCATTACAATCTTCGATTCTCAAAACCTGCCGGGTACGTATTCAAAAATACCAATAAGCCCACTTGTAACTGCAACATTATCGCGTGTAATCTGTGATAACAATAATCGACTAGCTATTGATACAGAATGCGTTTAAAATTATCTAAAGTTGATAAGTGTATGTGATGTACCCCTTTAATAGCTTTTAGTAAGTTTCTAGAAGTTTTATTTATTACGTTCACAGATAAAAAAAAATATTGTCCTTGTAGGCAGACGAGCATACGGCCCACCTGACGGTGAGTGGTTACCGTCGCCCATGAACTTCAGCAATGCCATTAGCACACCCAAGCCGCTGCTTACCGTAAAATCTTGGGTACAAAGTTCCGTTTTGATACCAGTTATATAATACTTAAAATGAAGACATTAGTGATGTCTACGGGCCACTACTCAACCCCAAATGGGCCGCAGCTCATCCGATCATCCTCTGCCAATAAACAAAAATGAGTTAATTTGAATTTAAAATCTCGCATTTTATATTGTACACGATTAAATGACTGGGTGAAAATAATAATAAAAATGCAAATTTTTCTAAAAATCCGACCTGGTACAAGGAAATAATCGGTATAGAAGCAAATTCGTAAAATTTTTAATTAACGCGATGAGGTAACACCTAATAAAAAATTTTTTTTAGCAAAGTACCTACAGTCGTTCCATAGAAAAAAAAAATTACCCGATTGGATGCAGTCAAGGAGGGTGGATCCGAATGAGGTCTTCTTGTTCTTCAGGCTGTCGAATACTTCCCTGGTAAGGTACTTCTTCAGCAGCGACTTAGAGTCGGATCCCTGGAGCTTGCTGAAACCAGCCTCCAATTTCTCGAGGGTTGCGGCGTCGACCATTGTTGCGGCTTTTCTGTAAAATAAAATTAAACATTGATTTTTTTATCGCACTGTTCCCATTAAATCAAATAAAAACAACGTTTCTAACGCTTTCAAAGCAGCACACGTAGCTCTTGTACACATTTTCGTGAAAATTATACGGATTTTGTAATAAAACGCAAATGTATTTTTGTTGAAAAAATCTAGTAGTAACCGCGTAGACGCTGTCAATTTTTTTTTAATTTTCAAATTCAAAATAGTGACGTACCGTGTATCAGTTTTTGATTCGAGCGATTCCAACGAAAACCTACATAGACACCACAACCTTTTAAATGAAATTATTTTATAGAAAACGACGCATTCGTGATTTGATGAGTTTTAGCTAATTCGAAATTATAATTATGAAATGAAACGTTAAAGCGAAAATGTTCTATCATTAATTTTTACAAACCGCCTCATGATGTAATAAGCTAGGACGGCACCGCCGCAGACTACAACCGGAATCGTTACTTTTAGCTTATAATTCATCTTGAAAGATCGCTAATACCAAGATTTAAAAGCTGCTACGGAAGAGGGTGCTCTACGCGGACTGTCGGATACAGGAATATGATCACACCCCAGGATCGGTTGTGTTACGTAACAAATGTCGCCTTGACCGGCGCGCAGGGCAGATCGTTGTGTCAGCCGCGCGCACCGGGCCACGCGCATCGCGGCCGTCTCCCGCTAGCGCCCGAAAAACACCGCTGCACTCACTCGTACAGACAGTATTCCTAATCGCAAGTTTCACATTACCTACCTCGCATTTGTTTCCATTAAGAACACCGATGACGTCTCATAATACGATCGTCGTTTAACGTTTTCAAGTACGGCGATATCCGACACGAGTTTATATGATTCTAGAATGAATTGAGTTTTTTTTTTTTTTGAAATTTGATGCAACATGGCATGCGTGCCTTTGATGAAATGACAAAATTACTAGTCAATTCAATGTAATTGTTGTTTATACAGATTTTAAACAGTGTAGATTTTTTTGCTATGAATTTAACAAGAAATTTCACGAAGAACACACCGTTCTGCTCGACCAGATTACACGACTAATGCACCGATAGTTTCGTAATTTTTTCATAAGTACATAAGAAAAGTATTGATACAAAATTACTTTTAACTAAACTAAATTCCAAACGAAATTTATTCGGACTGCATTATTTTGTACAGCATTTACTAAGTACGGTATCCCTTGTCGGTTCAATGGCCGGGGTTGGTTTTTAATCACGCGACAATAGCGAGCTCACAGTACTATATATAAATGGGATACCTAGTTGCAAAAATAATAATTCGATATGTGCAAATACTAGGTAGGTAGTAATAATAAAAATGGATTATTGCAGCGGACGCCGGATTTGCCGGCCGCCATACGCACCCGTCCGAGCCCTCTTTTGGTTTGTTTTCTTTATTTTCTTTTGTTGCACAGCCACCCATTATCACAATTTACGTAATAAATTTATATAAAAAAAATACTAATAAATCCACTATAACACGATAACTACAGCAAATAAAAAAAGGGAACGGATGATACTAAATGCAATGATGGAATGCTATTTTGTCGAAATGAATGTATAGGAGCGCCGAGCGAGACGAGGGGTGGCCCGATCGATGCGCGGCACGCACCACGCACGCGGCGAAATCTTCCCGCCCTTCTGTTCCCGCTTTAAAACTTCGCGAAGGGAAAGTTGTTAACTTCCCCGAAACCGATTACATTGATGGTCAAAATTTGAATGAATTTCAGTTTCTCTCACGTAGATCGACCATCTTATCTTATAACTGGCACTCTCGAGTTTATCGTAGCACATCTCGAAGGGCTTAAGTTGTCGCGTGTAACTTTTAAAAACGCCGGTTGAATATTAGAATATTGACTTGGACATTTCTTTGACGTCGGTAGAATTGAAATCGCAAGGGACTCCGTTTACCTGGCACTTGAACAACCGTCAGAACCGACTGCTAGGTGCAGAATGGTTGGTGCGGGAGCGCGCAGTACGTTAAGCCCGCCCGCGTCATCGTCCCGCGCCCCGCCACCCTCGCGTTCAACCTTGGCCTTCCCTCCCGATGCCAGCCTGGATGGCAGATCTCGCGCCAGTACGGATTCAGCGATTTTGGCTATGTCAACTACAGTAGATCCAGTCCCGCTGTCACTATTACGGGAGACCACAGTCGCTACAGCGGCCTACGGCTCATAAAAGTTTACGACGTTGTTGATAGACAACGACCAGTTTTATTGTTGAATAATTGGTTAGAAAAATTCGTGTAATTGGTATATTATTATCGATTTTTAAAAGGTATTTTAATATATTATTGATAGAAATACTCGGTAAAATTTTTCGTCCATATTACGCTATTTTAAAATTAAATTGAAAAGTATAACTACTTATCTATATTTTTTTCGTAATCGATCGATTTCATAACTCCGTATCAATAGTTGCAACGTTACTCACTACAAGATAATAATATGTATCGCAGATAATTTATTTAAAATTTAAAATAAGAACGATGCCGCCGGTACTTTTACTGGCTGGATCTTTTCCAATAATAAATACGGTCCAACTCTAATGTCAAGTTTGTTATTTTCAATTTTAACTTTCATTGCATCACAACTTTTTTTCACAAATATACAAAACACAAATATATAAAGTAAAACTTCAATGAAATAATATTCGAATAAACCATTTTTAATTAAACCTACTTCGATTTTATTGAAGTCGCGGAAAGATTGAGTTTATCTGATTAAAAACAACAAAAAGGTGGCATGCATTCAATTATTAATAAACGTACAATAACATACTGAATCGATTTTCTTGCCTGTGTTACATAACCTTCAAGAACCTTGACCCAGAGTCCGTGAGATTAACATCGGGGTGGCGCGTGCGGGGTGTTCACCCTCTTTCAGGAAGCCGTAAAAATACAAAACCAATGTAGAACGATTTCACTGTTTAAGGGTGTTTGATTTTAATTGCCAATAAGATTAACTTTGTGTTTAGGAACGGAACAATAGTTAATATGGGGGAATGAACTCCCGGCCTATCTTAGTTTATATTATTATGGTTAGTTAGACCTTAGATACCATAATGTAGATGCCGCCTAAGTCGTCGTGGCCTACAAGGTAAGACGTCCGGTGCATTTGTGTTGAGCGATGAACCGGTGTTCGAATCCCGGAGGCGGGTACCAATTTTTGTAATGAAATACGAACTTAACAAATGTTCACGATTGACTTCCACGGTGAAGGAATAACATCGTGTAATAAAAATCAAACCCGCAAAATTATAATTTGCGTAATTACTGGTGGTGGGATCTCAGGTAAGTCAGCACGGATAGGTACCACCACCCTGCTTATTTCTGCCGTGAAGCAGTAATGCGTTTTCGGTTTGAAGGGCGGAGCAGCCGTTGTAACTATACTGAGGCCTTAGAACTGATATCTCAAGGTGGGTGGCGCATTTTCGTCGTAGATATCTATGGGCACCGGTAACAATTTAACACCAGGTGGGCTGTGAGCTCGTCCAACTATCTACCCCATATCAAAAACCTACCTTGAGACATGAGGTCAAAATTTCAATTGCTTTGTATAGTTGCTGTTTCACTCTTCTGAACGATGCGCCATTGCTTGTCGCAATAATTTTTTCTGTTGCTTGCGACGAAATTCCCATCCGTCACTAAAACGCTCCCATCTAGGATTCATCTACTCTGTAAAGCTAGTTTGTTCCAGTTATGCATGCAGTAGGTATTTTCATTCAATATTAGGCACTAATCTTGCCTATTTAGTATAATGATTTATGTAAATTTATGTAAAACTTTTGCTACGAATTTCACGTTTTTTTTAATACGAATTTATGTAAGCAGCCTAGTGAAAGAAAAAAATAATTGTCAGCGATTTGTTATTTTCGCTCCAATGTACTATAATAGACAAGGCCACGCGCGAATGTCATTGCCAAGGTTTTCTAGAAAATTCACTTGTCTCATTATTTGTTTTCATATGCAAATAACAAAAAAATAATTTACGTCTTTACCACACCTTCTGTTACCACATTCAATGCATCTCGGTACAAAATGCATGAAAACCAAAGAAGTTTTAAGGTGTTTTTTTATTGCTTAGGATGGTTGGTGGACGAGAACACGACCCACCGGATGTTAATTGGTTACCGGAGCCCATAAACATCTAAAACGTAAATGCTCCCACCTAGTTTGAGATATGAGTTCTAAAATCTCAGTTTTAACAGTACAAAGGCTACCCCATACTTCAAACCGAAACGCATTACCGCTTCAAGGCAGAAATAGGCAAGGTGGTAATACCTACGCGTGCGGATTCACAAGATGTCCTACCACCAGTAAATACGTCCTACCACTAGTTCACTCAGGGTTGAATGAAACATGAGATTTAAATATTTTTTATCTATGCCTTGATTTTTTTTAAATTATCTATACCGCTTCTTAATAATGCGTTCATTTTAATGTTATACTCGTATAAAACTATTACGATATGACGCGTAATTGTGCATCCCTGCAATTTTTACAATATTTTTTATTGTGAATCAATATCATATTCAACCTGTATTATTTTACATCGCTAATGAAGTGATCGAAAGATATACTGCGGATTCATCAAAATGTTTTTTTTTTCTAATTAAACACAACCAAAGGTATTTTGCGCGCAAATTTGCATAAATTCTTCATATCTTTCACCGATTGTGTATTGAAATTTTTTTTTTTTTCTGATGAAGCACAACCAAACGTATTTTACGCGCGAAACTGCATAAATTCTTCATATTTTTCACCGATAAATTTACTGTGTATTGAAACTGTTGCAAACCACGTAATGTTTGGATTTCGCCCACGTCGCGTCGTGCATGCGGTGTTTGCGATTTGCACTCGTTTGCTGACGTAAAGATGTTCATCGGTCATGTGAGTTTAGGGAGTTGCATCTGGAATTCTATCATTTATAATTTAAGCTACATACATTCACGGCTTAATCTCGCATTTTTTATTCTTACTATATTATTTCCGACTTCCGAGTACTTTATAGGTTATGGGTCTACTGACCATTCTATTGTTAAATTTTAGGAAAATTCTATATAATTGAAATTTAGATTTTAAAAAAATTATTGCTTTAAAGTGGGTTGGCGAGCCCACGGCCTACCTGGTGTTATCGGAGCCCATAGACATCCACAACGTAAATGCCGCCACCCACCTTGAGTTATGAGTTCTAAGGTTTCAATATAGTTACAAGGGCTGCCCACCCTTCAAACCGAAACGCATTTAGATATAACTTTCTTAATAGTTTAATTTACAATATTCAACGATCGAGAAAAAAATCTAATAATAAGTAAAATGAAATCCTCAAATTAAAAGAAATAAAGATCAATTTAAAAAAAAAACGAAATCAGTTTTCTTCCATAAACTTTTCAGTTATATTCAACCTTAAAGAAGAGGCAATGGAGAAATCGTGTTACATTGCGTGTAGCGCAAAAATTAGTAATTTTTTACGGGTATCTTTGTTTTCGCAAATAATTCGGGTAGAGTTTGTCAGAATATCAAATTATTATGATCGTAGCTTGATTTCTGGTGCACCAGTGCTCACGACTGTCAACGCAGGCTCAACAAGAACTGGTAGCTTCGTGTGCTCAATGATCGATTTCAAATAACAATAACTATCCGGTTGCGTTTCGCATCAATCGTAAATGAAATTGCGTAACGTTTTCATAACGGCGCGCATCCGGTCGCGCCCTATTTCCGTGACAATGTCACTGCCAATTCATCGCCAATCCCCTAGACTTTTGTTCATTTCCTATGATTACTTTTGATGTGGACAGAAATTGGGAACCAACTGTCTCTCTCCTAGTTTAAGTACTACTTTACCGTTTGAATGTGCTTATTCGTTCAGAGTTTGAAGGAAAGGCAAGATTGTGCTTTGGAAAAATATATGTATTAAAAACTCAGTATCAACTGCCGCAACCAATATTAATTACAGTTGTCATCGGTAAAACTTTAAAAACATCATCATCTTATATTGCAGACTAGAAGCTTTACTGGTGGTAGGACCTCTTGTGAGAGCGCACGCTGCCTATTTCTGCCGTGAAGCAGTAATGCATTTCGGTTTGAAGGGTGGGGCAGCCGTCGTAACTATACTGAGACCTTAGAACTTATATCTCAAGGTGGGTGGCGCATTTACATCGTAGATGTCTATGGGCTCCAGTAACCACTTAACACCAGGTTGGGCTGTGAGATCGTCCACGCATCAAAGCAATAAAAAAAAAATAGTAAGGAGGCTTCGTTTGAGACACAATTATCGACGGATCAACTCGTGCTGGAACATCAAGCCTGGTATCATACTAATATTGGCTTGTGTGTTCGTTCGCCTTCTATTCGTTATATACATTTTTTTATGTGCCTTTAAAATACCCTAAGGAATATGTTCTATAAATTTCAAAGTTTCGACTAGGTCGCATCCAGTCTTTTGAGTCGCTCGGTCACTATTTCCGCAAGTATATTTCAGACGATTACAAAAGAACGTTTCTTTTATACAATGTTGCTTTAAAAATTAACAGATGCGTTCGGCGGCTGTGACGTACGAGAAAATCTAGACTAATTATAAATCTTCGGCACGCTTACATCTCAGTTTCAAGTCTAGATTTTAGCAAACGTTTTACTGCTGGTTCGAAGCTTGCGCCACAGCCATTGACTGTTGTAGATCGTTCGATTCGATTATACAAGTTGGTGCAGCTGAACTGTTTTTTGTGTATTTTTTTATTTTTTTATGTTTGACTCTTTTGTGTCACAAGGCATTCACGCGTTTCGGTTCGATTGAGACTATGGCCTTTTGACCCAAGGCTGCCGTCTGCATTCAGGCTTGTGCTTATTAACTTCGGTAGCGAGGTGGAATGTCGCCTCAGATATTATCCATCGCTCCTCAAACTTTTTAAAGCAACTTTTGAGATCGGCGTGACCTAAAGGATTAGACGACCCGTGTACTCATATCATGCGATGGGACTAACATCTCGGTGTTCAAATCTCACCGGCAATTATTAAAAATCAAACCGGCAAAGATAAAAATT